AAGTTTATTAATTAGACACTCAAAGTGCAATGATTTAGTAGCTCTTCTTAGGTGGCTTGAGATGCTGAAGTCTTCTATAGTGTAAGCTGAGCAAGGAAAGCAGTAGTTGGCTGATGCTTCCCTCCCCTAACTAGACATTTCTATTTTGGACAAAATTGAATATACATTTTTCTCCAATATTGCAGTTGGCATTTACAAATGCATGCAACAGGAGTATGATCAATAGTCCATTTATCAAAATAATTATGTTAAATTACATATTCATTTTTGCAAATGGAACTTTGTAGTCTCTCTTGCTATACAGTTTTTCACTGAGGCATATAGTCCTATAAATGGCTTTGGGCTTCTTCATTTTCACTTTTTGAATCCCAGTGCATTCACTAAGGTGACCAAGAGGCATTATTTAAATCAATGTTTTTCAACCTTTCTGCAGCTGGGCACTGGCGAAAACAGGAAAACCACCTCAGGGACCCCTTAGGCAGAAATAAAAAGCACCATACACATAATGCAGTATTCTGTGTGTTAGTTTCCAAACACAATACTAAAAAAATAAAAATTTTCCAACTAGAAACTGAGCAACAAAAATGCCAATGAAAGACAAAATACTGAAATTGCTAGAAGTGTTTTTGTAGCTGTTATCCACCAGCAGATCTTCCTTCATACTGGTGAGTACTGAAACTGTTGTAAATTTTTCTATTTCTCTAATATTCTAATCAAACTAAGCAGGTATGCTACTGCTTCCTATTAATGGCACGCTAATCTAGATTGTGTGGATTAATCTTTGCAGTGTTTATAGGAACAAATATACCTTAGGTAGAGAGGGATTAATTAGATGATACCAAGATTGTTAAATAGCAGCAAATTATTAAGGCTGGTAAAATCCAAAGAAGACCATGAAGACTTATAGAGGTTCTCTATAGACAGGTGAATTTGCAACAAAATGGTCAATGTGGTTAAGTGCTAATTAATGCGCACTGATGATCATTGGTGCAAAAATCCTATATATGCATTTACTTACTTAGAAACATAGAAACGGAGTCAGGCAGAAGGGATCTCCCAGGCCATCTAGTCTGACCCCCGGCTCCAGCCAGCTCCACTCATGACATGCCTACCATGTGCAGGTCCAATCTATCCTTGAACACCTTCACCAATGGGGCTTCAACCACCTCCTGTGGAAGCCCATTCCTTACCCTCGGGGTCCTAACTGTCAGGAAGTACTTCCTGGCATCCAAATTGAACCTTGGTTCCCTGAGCTTTGCTCCATTGAAATGCATCCTGCCCTCCTTCACAGGAGAAAACATTAGATTTGACATAGCTTTCCTGCCAAGGAGCAAGCATCTTTTAATTTCTTGGCTGCAGTCTCCATCTGCGGTGACCTTCGAGCCCAAGAAAATAAAATCTGTCACTACCTCCATTTCTTCCCCATCTATTTGCCAGGAAGTGATAGGACCGGATCTGTCATAGAATCTGCCATGACCTTATTTTTCTTAATGTTGAGTTTCAAGCCAACTTTTGTGCTCTCTTTCACCCGCATCAAGAGGCTCTTTAGTTCTTCTTCACTTTCTGCCATGAGAGTGGTATCATCTACATATCTGTGGTTGTTGGTATTTCTCCCGGCTATCTTAATTCCAACTCGAGATGCCCAATAGAGTAGGCCAGAACAGCAGTTGTGTCAGCCCCTGGACAGTATAATGGGATGGATGTTTCTTGGCTTGGTAATGAATATTCATGGCCTATTATCTCTGATGAGAAACAAGCCAAGAGGTCCTCTGAAGCAGCTTGTAAAGGGCAGCCAATAATGCAAGTCTCCTGTAAGCTTCATGATTTATAAGAGTATTGTAAATGGGGGAAAAGAGACCCATCTCTTGTTTGAAATCTTTGCTCCCAAAAAGTCATGAAAGAGGATGAAAAAGAAGCTCATCAGTCCTGGGGGACAAGTTAAATTATTCTGGATAATGGATTGTCTAAACTCTTAATAGATCACAAAAACAGGACTAGGTAATCATATTATGACAGTTGACTTAATGGGCTCTCCAAGGAGTCATGCCCTGAATTAGGTTTAACATGCTTATTATTGAATTAGAAACTGGGCTAAATAGCAATATTACAAAAAGTTTTCAAGGTAGCATTGAAATGAGCCAAATTCTAGGGGTGATGTTGTTAGATCAGAGGGCAGAATTCCATTCTAGAGATGCTCTTGCGAACTGTATCCTCGATGGGATGGGATGAAATAGGTGGGTGAGGCAAAATATTTTGGAAAAACAAGCAGAGCCAAACATGCCAGCCTGCTTTAGGTTAAAGTTCTCATTGCCAGTAACTAAGCCTTAGAAAAGCATTTCTACCTTTTAGAATGGGGAAAACTGCACAAAGGCCAAGAAATCACCAAACAATTGCTGATGAAGGGAAAGGCATGTAGGAAACACAGGAATACAGGAAATCCCAGAGGGCAGGTCTGGCTCCTGGGCCTAAGGTTCTGCATCCCTGTATTAGAAGAAATTTATAGAACAGTAACTCAATCTTCAGGGAACTTGCCTATTTCACAGATTGCTGAGTTCAAGTCTCAGCACCCAGTAAAAATAAACAAACAGAGAAGTGTTATTCTGCTATCCAGGGTCTTGGATACCGCAGGGACCCATAAAATGCTTACTTAAAAATTGCACAGGACAGATGGGTTTTGTCAGGAGTTTTCAATTGTAATTTAAGAGAACTATCCTTGAAATGTCATTACGTTATTGCAGAAATAAAGCTACAATCATTCGGAATGTCAGAGCCTGAGATCACCAGCATTGTAATAACTTGTATAGCTCTCATTACTACAATGTGAGAAGATACTTAACTGGAGCATGAGTTGTAGTGGACTTGCACTCCTGCTGTTCTTCTGAGTCTGTAGTGAAAATATATGCTTTGGCCTTAACAGACAGAATATAAATTGGGAATTTACATTGCCAAATGTATGACATTTTCTTTTAGAACTTGGGGTAGTGGTCCTGTGTATGTCTTACAGAGCATGTAATCTAATATCCCAAACATTCCTGACTTTGCAGAAAAGTATTTGAATGGTAATACTTTCCTGGGCGTGTAGGCAAAAATGTGTGTGTGTATGGGGGGCATTCATATTTGGGATTGTCAATTAGTATTGAATAGTATTAATATTAAGGTAAAGGAATGAACAAAGGAACTAATCACATGCCACACTGCATTTCCCCCTGCAGCTATTTTTGGTAGGTCTAATATACCCATCTGTTATTTCCTCAATGTGTATATTCAGGCATGCTGAATTGAGAACTATGACATGTCATGTTGGAAATACCGGATGCAGTGTACAGGGAACAGATGTGTTTTCAATGCAATTTCTAGTGTGGCTTGCTCTTTGGCACTAGGAGTGCCTTGTTATAAACTGCAAAGAATCATCCGGCATGTTTCTCCCAGCATCAAGAAAGAATTTGTCAGAATATGATGAAATTGCTTCTCTGATATCAAAATGTGCTTTTCTTTATCTTGACATATGTGAATGATATTTAACAAAGAATAGAATAGACAGTGATATAAAATGTGTATAAAAGTGCTCCACATGTTCACATACTTAGCTGTAGCAATTTGCTGCTGCTGCTGTCATTTCCTCCTCCTTGTTAATCATTTCATTGTTATACTGTGTAGTAGCTGAAGCTCTGTAGCCAGTTTAGAACAATTCATGACACAGATAAAATAACAGAATAGATAATAATGAAATTTCAAATACAGTAAAATATCACAGCAATTCTGACATACGAACTCTAAAAGCTTTTAAAAACAAAAACAGTTTCAATAAGAATCAGACCTGTTTAAGCTGAGGTGTCACATTCTATGACATTAAACACCCAGGAATAGAGGCCAATTTTAAAAAATCCCTGGTCCCCCCCCCCAAAAAAAAAGAGAGATAATGTTGGTACCAGGTGAGCCTTAGTGGGGAAATCATTCCTCAGTTTTACTGAAAAGGCCTTCTTGAGCTTCCCAAATAGATGATGTACACCCAATCAGGTCAGGAGAGATTTTCCATCAGATATTGAGATTTCAAGCCATGTAAACCGGTACCTTGTTCTTGAAAGCATACAAGCAACTCATGCATGCAAGCCATAATTGGTCTTACATGAATTCTGGCCCCAGTTATTAATTTCACTACTACATTAGGCACAAGCTGCGGCTTCTGAATTGTCTCCAAGGACAGACCCACACAGAGTGCATTACAGTAGTTTAACTTGGAAATTACCAGAGCACAGATGACTAAAGCCAGGTTATCCCTGTCTGGATAGGGGCTCAGCTGAACCACCAGCTGCTGCTGGTAGAATCCAATCCATGCCACTTGAGCATCAAAGATGGATCAAGGAGAAACACCAAGCAACTAACTTAAATCTTCAGGAGGAGTACAGCTCCACCCAGAACCTTCCATGCAGTCCAAAGACCAACCTGCTAGCAGCATCTCGGTTTTGCCTAGAGTGAACTTCAATTTGTTAGTCTTCATCCAGTCCATTGTCACAAGTTGGCACATCCACAGCCTTTCTGGTAGAGTTGAAAAGGAAAAAAAGTACTCTTGACAGTGCGTACTCCAAAACTCCAGATGACCACTCAGCAGTTTCATGCAAATGTTAATACCAGGGGAGATAACACTGACCCCTGAGGACTGTCATGCTGGAGAGTCCACTGGCCACACAGTGTTCTCAAAGTACCACCTTCTGGAGTTAGCTGTCCGAGTCAGTGTGGAACCACTCCAATGTGGAACCACTTATTCCTAACTTAGACAGTTGCCCAGGAAGGATATTGTGGACAATCGTTTTGAAAGTTGCTGATGGTTTTGAAAGTATCACCAGGATCATGTTTGTGTCCCACCTGCAGCTCTCCCAAAATAGATCCTTGCACTGGGAGACCAAAGCTGTATCCATGCCAAAATGGCGCATTATGGCAGGTGATCTGAAATGTGTTCCTTTTTCCAAGCCTCACTCCTGTCCTTCTGGCTTATGTTGCAGGGTATGGTCACACAGTGCCTTTGTCAGATGGAGGAAAGGCCTTCTGCATCATCTATTCTGTCATTGGGATCCCCTTCACGCTGCTTTTCCTGACAGCAGTGGTGCAACGCCTTATCGTCTATGTCACCAGGCGGCCTGTGCTGTATTTCCACGTTCGCTGGGGTTTTTCGAAACAGATAGTTGCCATCATCCATGCAGTAATCCTGGGCTTTGTTACCGTTTCTTGTTTTTTCTTTATCCCAGCAGCAGTGTTCTCTGTCCTTGAAGATGACTGGAACTTTCTGGAATCTTTTTACTTTTGCTTTATTTCTCTGAGTACCATTGGCCTTGGCGACTACGTTCCAGGAGAAGGGTATAACCAAAAGTTCAGAGAGCTGTATAAAATAGGAATTACATGTGAGTAGCAAAGTGTGCAGATAAGATTGCTGAAAAAGTTGCAGAGCTTTGTGGGATGTTCTTTCTCTGATTTTTAGGGCTCAGTGCCATGCATGTTTAGACATAAGAAAAATCATACAACTCCCAAAATACCCCAGGGAGTTGTACACCTTTTTACTGTCTAAATATGTGTGGCATTTTGCCATTAGCATATTTTCTATGCATATACAACAGATAAAGAAAAATCCAAAATGAGTTGTTAAACTGTTCTCAAATTACTGTTAAGTGTGCATTTTTGAAGCCTGGAATGAGTGTGTGTTTTAGATGTGGAATTACAACATTCTAAATATTAGAAGCATTCTTAATGTTTTGACACAGTCTCAAGTAAAGTCAGTCAGTCCAATGTTTATGCAGATACGATTCAGATCAAAACTGTAAGGGTCACCTGCCCTCCTATAAATCTGTTGCAATGTATTTATAAATAAATCTGCTATAGCCTGACAAAGCATCTTAGGGCTACTTGCTTTGTTTAAAAAGGGGATGGGATACATTCATGCGGGATAATTTTATCAACAGCTTTTAACTAAATGGAACTAGAATCCCTCATCTCCTGGGGACACACATTATTTTAAAACTGTGTTGAGTAGCTACATCTTTGCCCCTTTTTATTCTAGTGTCTGTGGAAGACCCCCAGTCCAGTTTGGGAACCCAGCATGGGCAGGTATATAGGGAGCTTTTAAGATCTGAGTTAGGCCTCCTATACCTGCTGTGCAGTAAAAAAATGAAGACAAGCAGTCTGTTTTGCCCCTTTATCTGGTTAGCCAGTCACAAAGGCCCCCATAAACAACTAAAGAAAGGGGACTGGAATAACTTTCCTCTGAGAAATGGCTAAAAATATTGGTGATTTAAAATTAAGGGAAAGACTTCTGAGGAGGGGAACATAAGCAAGTTTTCTCATATTATTGATGATATGGAGAAAGTGGGCAGTGAGGGTTGCTTCTTCTTCACTCGCACTAGCAGAACTCAGGATTCCTAATGAAACTGAAGGGGTGTCCATTCAGAGCCTCTCACTATTTTGACTCATGAAACTCCAGGCTCAAAAACAGTGCCTTTGAATATCCAGGTGCTGTGGTCCGAAAGGAGAGTACTGAGTGCATGTCCTGCATGTAGGTTTCCTGAGGCACCCGGCTGGCCATTAGGCAGCAGCATACTGGGATAGAAGAACCACTGGCCTGATCCAGCAGTGCTACTCAGATGAGTCACCCATTCAGCAGAGGAACCTTCCATTCCTGTGCAAGCCACTGAGAGGCAAGAAAGGGTTTGCTTCCCCGTCAAAACTAGTCAAGAGAGGGTTTCTAGTTTCCTTGCTGTGCTTTCTTGCTATGCTGAGCCCTGGAAATGTGGCACAGGTTCTTGGCACCATAAGGGTTTTGGTGGCGGCAGCCTCTAATCCCTCCTTCCTTCCTTATATATAACAGAAACTTACTCCCTCTGCTGGCATCTGCCTAGTAGATGTGCCACGTGTTCAGTGCACATATATAACAAAGCCCAGGATTGTTTAAATTAAACAGAAAAAAGTCTTGGAAGGCTGCAATTGAGTGGAAGAGTAAAAGGAAACACAAGGGTGGTTAATTCCCAGATCCATCCCATAAGTCATTTTCCTCTCCCATTGCGTGGAGTTCTCAGTGCATGTTTACAAGGGCAACAGGCTATCTGGGAAAGCATAGAGTCAGTCCCCTGTTGCTCCAATAACTCCTCACTCAATTTTGGCCTCTCAGCATTGTTTTTGATCTGTGTTGGATGCATCTGTGCTTATTATGTTCCTTGCTGTTCTGCCCTGACATTGCTTTTCAGCAAGCATTACATGCAAAGCAAAGCAGGTAATATTTCATACCAGATCTGTCCAGAAAACATTATAGTGAAGCCCAGAGCTCTTGAACATTGACCTAGTGTTGTGTACTGAGAGTGACATTTTTTGGAAGTGTTGATAATTCCATGTTCAAATCCCTAGTTATCTGTCAAATCACTGGTTGACTTTGGGCATATCATCAATGCTTGGTCTACACCATTCTGCCTTGTTTAAAGAAAGGGAAGAATGAAAATATAAATACTTTGCAAAGCTTATTAATATTATCAATATAGGCCCAATCAGGCAAATGCCAAAGGAAACACATTTGTCTGTGCATCTTACTTATTGTATGGGCACACCTCTTCATATGGTATGAGTAATAGTAGCTTTTTACATGAGACATTTAGCCATTTGCACTTTGGGATCCTTTCTGACTTAAAGCAGATCAATATGTATTTGACCGGCTTATGTTTCAAGCGCTGTTTCATTCCTTCCTAGGTTACCTGCTGCTGGGCCTCATTGCAATGCTGGTGGTTCTAGAGACTTTCTGTGAACTTCATGAACTCAAAAAGTTTAGGAAAATGTTCTATGTGAAGAAGGACAAGGAAGAGGACCAAGTGCATATAATAGAGCATGACCAACTGTCCTTCTCTTCGATTTCAGACCAGGCTGCTTCCATGAAGGAAGATCAGAAAGTAAACGAGCCCTTCGTGACCCCTCAAGCAGCAGCCAATTGTGATGGCTGCTTAAACAATTAGCCAAGGGCTCCTGCTCCAATTTCAACAGTGCACTTACCATTCTTGCAGTTAGAACTAGGGCCATTAATACAGAGGCAGGGATGGCTATGCTATATTATCCAGTATTCATTTGGGGATATTTTGCAGTGTATGGGCCAAATAGAGCTTTCATTAGATGGAGCTACATTCTGGGAATGTGGACTAAAAGACAGTGTGCAGCTGGGAATCTCTGGACTCATGATGTATACATGGAGCATAAATATGTGAGGCTTGATTTGAGGGGGGGAAAGGACTTCATTTCTCATTCCCCAGGCCCTTTAAAGTACTCCCCCCTTCCCACAAAGAAACCCTTTGTCTTTTGTTGACAGACTTGGAGTTTTCTCATGCCCCAAGTGGCTTTGGAACTTGGATGGAAACTGAAGTGTTAGGAAAAACCTTTTGAAAAAGACTTCATGTTTTCCAGGCAGTGTTGAGTTGGAAGACTGGAAGCCACAGTACCACCTGAAAAACAGCAATAGTCTTTGCCACATCTCAGTGAGATTTCCTAATTACGGGCCAGGACACAGCACATTATGCCCATACTTGCACCCCCACTTTACCTGAAGACTCAGATCAAGTACTTTGTTAGAAGTTCTGTGTGGCTTCCCTTACTCTGATTTGGGAACTCAGCTGCACACCTTCCAAGTCAGACTCCATAAGAATATAGACAGACATTCTAAAATGTAACAGGAAGTGGTTTGAACACTTATTTGCTATATGCCAACCGTACTTCAAATGTTTGTCTCTATATATTCCAATCTGCAGATGTTAACCGAGCAAGAATTCTATATCTGGGTGCTTTCCTTCTGGCCTTAAAAAATAGCAAAAAGGTGTTTTGCAACTGATTTTAGTGAATATAGGATCAGGGACCCATGAACACCAGCATATACAACATTGCAGGCACAATATAGGGGAAAGCCATCTTCCTTAACATTCTCACACACCCCTTTGATCTAATTGTCCCCCAAGGCTGTAATTCTCAAACCATTTGTTGCTAAGTGGTTCCAGAATTCTGGGCCTGTCTATTCAAAGAAACACTAGTTGAGCTGAATACAAGTATCTAGACTTTTATGAGAAGAGTAAAATACTTGAATCTCTATCAGCTAAAAGCACTGTATGTAAGTTTAGTTAATAGCACCTACTGTTTATTAATAGATTTTATACCTTTACTAGGAAAGTTGACTTTCTTGACAAATCTGCTTTACAAACTATATGAGCTGAAATTTATATTTAAGAAAACAGAACTCAGAGATGCGTCTTAAACTTGATTTGGATCACAGTGTGTTTGCATGCCTTCATCAAAATGGCTATTTTTGTATATCCTGAGTTGATTCTGTTTATAATGTTAAACCATTTTTGTGTGTATGTGTATATATATATTTATATACTGTACATAAATTCTAGATTACCAGAATGTAACTGTGTTGGATTTGAAATTTTAAATATTCTTCACCCACAGATTTCTCTGTATAAAGGGAAAATAACTCAGAATGTGGCACTGAAAACAGTGTCTTCAGTTCCGAACAAATGAATGTGGAAGGGCAAGTCTGTACAGCTGCTGTGTTAAAATCCTTATGTTTAATATAGGCCCAGCCTACCTCTTTTAGTGACACTCCTCCAAGGGAATGAGAGTGCTGCAGCATTTATAATGGATAATGTGCAAGGTTTAGAACAGAACTACTTCTTCACACAATGTATAGTTAAACTATGGGATTCGCTCCCACGGGAAGTGGCACTGGCCAGCAATGGATGGCTTTAAAGGGGCTTGGACAGCTTCGTGAGGGAGGAGGCTATCGGTGGCGCCGAGCCTCGCAGGGTGCGTGCTGCCTCCTCTGTTAGAGGGCCATGCCTGCATAGACCAGTCGCTGAGCAGCTTGGGCAGGAGGAGGTCCTGCAGCCGTCCTGCCTGAGGGAGCCTGTGGGCGGCTGCGCTACCACTGTGTGTACGGAGTGTTGGACTAAATGGACCTTTGGCCCGCTCCGGCATGGCTTTTCTTATGTTCCTGTTTTCTTATGTATGGTACCATAGAATTCTCTTTCTCACTGAGATTCTATTGATAATAGGTGCTTGGAGACAGGCACAAGTTGCATAAATGTAGGGTTTTTCTTTTTTCTTTTTTAAGAGTGTAGTCAGCTGCAATAAGGATGGACATTAAAGCACAGAGCGGTAAATTAAAATTAAAGCTAAATACATTGCTAGCAATCGGCATGTCGTACTTTTAAAGTTAAATAAAGAACTGGTTCCTGTTGTCCTTTTTCTTGAATTAAGACTGCATATATTATTGTTTATTTATTATCATATTACATTTATATCCTGGCTTTCCATTAAAAATAACTAACACCACGGTGACTAACAACAGTAACATATAAAGATCAAACACAAAATTATAATTAAAAATTAAAGCAAATAAATTAAAGCATGCACACCAGTGAAAATCTCTGCCTACAAACAGGTCAACTTCAAAGCTAAAAGCCATCTGTGTTGAAATGGATCTGCCTGCCAGTAGATGGATGACAGGTACGCCTAGCCTTCCGTCCCTTAGCGATTTCCAGACCCTGGGAGAGGCATGAATGCTCTCTTGCGTACAAAACGTCCCAGCATTGATCAGCAGAGAGAAAGGCTACTCCTAAGAATCTTTTATATGTATATAAAATTTTATATATAAAAATTTAAATTATATATAATTTTATTAACATTTTAAACTAACACTAGAAAACATCAAACATTGGATTCACTGGGTCAACCTCCTACTACATATTTTTTAACATTCTAAAGTCAAATTTCAAATCAATTTATAATAGTTTGAAAAACCTCTCAAGTTTACGCCAGGTCCCATTTCTTCAGCCAATTATAGAAAAAGTTCCAAGTTTGATAGAAATCAGTATCTTTCTTCTTCAATAATAAAGTCAGTCTATCCATTTCTGCGCAGTCCAAGATCTTTCTTACAATCAGTCCATCGGTGGGCAGCTCCTCACTTTTCCAATATTGAGCAAATGCAATCCTCGCCACTGTGATTAGATGCAGTATCAGATACATTTCCTGTCTGTCAATGTCTTCTGGTATAATGCCTAATACTCCTAAGAATCTTAAAACTCATACATACGGGAGAATCAAGTCTTTCAAATAAACCTGTTTCCAAGTGGTGCTAGCCAGTGTGGTGCAGTGGTTCAGAGCACGGGACTGGGACTCAGACGATCTGGGCTCGAGTCCCCACTTGGCCATGGAGCCAGCTGGGTGACTCTGAGCCAGTCACAGACTCTCAGCCCAGCCTACCTCACAGGGCTGTTGTGGGGATAAGATGGAGGAGGAGAATGATGTAAGCTGCCTTGAGCCCTTTGTAGGAAAAAGGCAGGATATAAATCGCAATATAAATAAATAAATATAGGGACCTATAGGTCCTTTATAAGCCACAAGGAACTATTTAAAACTTTTGTATGCTGTCCTTTATGTATGACATCACAGGATGGCTTACAATTTATGCTGCAGTTTTGCTGAGTGCAGGACTGGCAGTGAAGCTCTTGTAACAAAGGAGTCACATGCTCCCAACATCCTGTTGAAAGCATTCTGGACTCCCTGAAGTTCGTAACAGTTCCTAAACACTTTTCAAAGGCAGCCATACAAAGGGTGTGTTACAAATTCTAAATGGGATGTAATCACTTGCAGAAAGTTAATACATTAATTAATAAAACGTGTCACAGTAGCTGGATCTGGTATCTCCAAAAATGGGCTCAAGTGGCACTGGAACGTTAGCTGTGCAAACTTACTCCTGACTACCACTGAAATTCAGTCATCCCGATTCCGGGCTGAACTGCAAGCCTGAATCTTCAGGGGTAGTGTAGCCCCTTCTATTTCTTGATTTGACTTTCAAGTGACCCTGAACACTGGATTAAGGTTTGATTTGCTCAACCTGATCATGTGTATTACTGACACAAAAATACTTGATAAGTGCCTTAGATTTACATGGAAAGGAAGGAAAGCATCAGTTGGTACCATGATGGCTGCAATTAAAGTGCAGAAAGGACAGGCAGATCTAATATTGCTGAGATACCTGAAGGAAGGCAGCAAACGGCTTCTGCCGAACAGGTCCACAGAGCTGATAACTGATTGCAGCTTTCTGTAGGGGTGGAAATTCCTCCTATGTTTTAGTTCCTGAAACAAAGAGCGTTAAAGCCAAAATAGGCTAGTCATTGTTTTGTTAACACATCCTTTTTTGCTTTCATTCTTCCACCCCACTGGAATGTTGCTCCCAAGAGCTCCAAAATGGTTTTTTCCCTTGGGCTGAGATAGGCTGTGCCCTGGCACAGGTCCTGTGGCTCAGCCTTGTGTGATTCCCATATGACTGCAGAGAACCTATGGTGCCATGGAGTTCCAGTACGAAAAATGAGGTTGGACCGACATTTTGCCGCTGAAGTGGCTGAATAACATGTACTAAGAAAGTCATCCCAGGATCCACCTGCACAAAGCACAATGATGGCATGGTGACTGGATGATAGAAAAGTGATGTTATACTTTATTCTGCCATACACTGATACCACCTTTCCTCTCTCAAACAACCTTTGCAAGTATATCCCAAAATGTGCATTTTCTATGATCCACTCAGAGCAAGAAATCACATTGTACACCATATTTTCATTATCCTATGAGGTGAACATACATCCCTGCTGCATACGCCTGGTGCTAACACTGGAATTGCTAGTGGGTTTTTGTGATACATGATAGAGTGATGTGAACATACATGTCTTAGTGCTTAAATGAGAAGTGATACTGAGGAAACACCCTGGTATGTGAACTGCCCTGCATTAGCACAGCACCATTATATCAAAATGATCAGAAGGCCTTGCTGACTCCATGACTGGGTACTACTACCCATCCCAGCTGATAAATACCACATATTTTGGTGTTATGCCAGCAGAACTGTAGCACTCCACTCTCCGCAAACAAATGTCAAGCTCCTTGTTCAGGCCACAGTTTCAAGTTCAATCTGATTTACAGTCTGGTTTTGGGATCTGTAACACCACCTGGCCTTTGTGCATCCTATAGTTGTACCACCAAAAACAACAACAACAAAAATCCCTCCATTGCTATACTGGACCTCTATGTGTGTATGTGGTGGGGTAAACATAAGACTGGAGGATCATGCAACAGCATTCAATATTCGAGAAATCTATCGGGAAGTATTTAATTTAGGTAAGCACATGTCCTGTACCAACAGGAAGATGAACAAGTACATACTAGATTAAGTCAAGCCAGAACTTTTTCTGGAAATAAATTTGATGAAACTGAAGCTGTTGTACTTCGTGCACATCATGAGAAACCAAGACTCAGAGAAGACAATAATGCTTGAGAAAGTGGAAGGCAGAAGAAGAGGAAGGCCAGGTGTGAGATGGAGGGGTCCCATAAAGGAAGCCACAAGCTTGAGTTTGCAATAGCTTGAGTTTGCAGGGCTGTGAAGGACAGGGCATGTTGGAGAGCATCCATCCATAGGGACGGCATATGTTGTAGATGACTTGGCAGCACGTAATTTAGGTATGGATTGTTCAAAGTCCTTATTGATTGATCTTGTCAAAATGTTCAAAGTTGTCTGACAAAAATAAATGAGATGTAGTAATAAACACAGGAAGGCAATGAAAGAACATTTAGCTTCTTTCATCAAGCAGAGCTGGAGAAGGGTAATACCGAAATTCCTCTTTTCAATCATCACTGGCAGTTCATGGTAACAAGTTCTAGCTCCTACCACTGTGAAATCTAGCTTCAAAGCAAAAGGAGCAATAACACAGAGCATCAACATGTAGATGTCAGTCTCAGGATTAAAGGAAAGAGAGATTACTCTGGAAAAAAGTCTGTATAAATGGGAAGTTTGCTGTGCTTTGCTGAAACTCATCAAAAGTTAAGCTGGCAGGTGTAAATTGAAATGGTAGCCAAAGGCAACAGCTGTGGGGGAGGCAAGAAGGAAAACAAGCTCTGCCAATTCAGGCATTTGACAGAGAATTGCAAGTGATACCTTTGCACAACTTCATCTTCCTCCTCTGTTAACCAAGAGTTATTCAGCCCATCCTAACAAGGTAATGGATCTGTGACAAGACTGTCTGATGTTTCCTTTAAAATCTCCAATGAAGGTAATTCCCTGACATGCCTAAATGATCTTCCAATAGTTAGGTCATTCACCATGATGTTTAGCCTTACCTGCTGCTGATGGTGCCTATATTAAAGACAGGTGCTATGTGCTGCAAATGTATTGTTCAGACAGGTACATGCTGAAAAGGTGAGGGTGTACTTTACTGCCGTATTGGACCCCAGCTGGGCAAAGCAACTGTTTTGTTAGGTCACTTTAGCTAGGTGTATTTGTTCACCCATGGTGAGTTAAGTTGAATTATTTGGTGCAATCCCTGCAGTTTTCGCAAAAATATGTATCC